CTGTACACATGCTGCTTGAATGGACAAAGTTTCACATAATGCCAGGCTCCACAGTACCAACATGGTAAGGGGGCTTATAATAAGCCGATTTGGAGTGATTAGAAACAGAGCTGGCGTTCAAACGAGCAAAGGTTTTCAAAATGAAGATTTATTCTTCTGCTGAACAACATGAACTTTGGAACCACCCTGACCCCCAGACTGAACCAAAGTGGTGTCACGCTAGAAGTTGATAATGCGTTGGTACTCCTCGGTGATCGCACTGAGTGACAATAAATTCATGAAAATATAGGTGTTAACGACGACAAGATCTTTTTAAGTAATAAGTTAAAGATTACACTAAAACCGTTTTGTGAAACACAATGTCGGGATAAATGGTAAATGTTAGGTTCGTTACTAGGTACGCTTGAAGCTATTACGGGTTCACCTAAGTTGATAAACGCGAAAGAGACAATAAACCAGCGTCCAGGTAGGCTACCGTGATCCGAAAATGGCAAAACCGAAGTCTTGATAGGCATAGAAAGTATATTCTACAAACACACAGCAAGCACAATACAATCAAGCATACAACTCTCGTTTATTTATACATCATAGAAACGTCCTTGGGACAGTCACAAATATGGCACACTAAAATACACAGCAGCCAATCACAGCCAAGGATTTTCCTGGTGGGAAATGAAATCTCAAGGTCAACTGATCATCCAATGCTCGAAAACATAAAATCCAAAATAAGGCATTTACCATGAGAGTTCTGAGGATCTAACGTCCCCAACAATATAATTGTGTGAACATAAACTAATGAGTATAAATAAAAGTGAATAAAATCTAACAAAAACTTCTAATTTTAAAACTGCGTAGTTTAGTTTGACTTAGCCCTCACAAAAACTATGAACAAAGGTGCCGATTTTACTTGATGAACCTGGGGCATTATTTAAATACTCGTCAAAATAGTAATAAAATCAGTTACAAATTTGATGAAATCATTAACACATTTAAATTGCTCCATAAAATCATACTATTTTAAGCTGATATAAAGTAAGGAGAGAAAAATGATCGAATTGATTAACTTTTATAACTCATCATTTTCACATACGAAAATCATCATTCGTTCAAATATTCATCCTGCTATCTCTTTCCTTGAACATTGAATTCTTTTTGTCGCGAAGTTTTGCATAACTTTATTGATCATGGATAAATAAGGGCCAGCCATTATGGGAAATTATATATATATATATATATATATATATATATATATATATATATATATTTCACATACTCAAGAACGGAATTAAAAGAATCAGGCTTATGATGACTTTACGCCACCAACCTTGATATGGGATACTTTACCCGAAATTGGAATGCCTAGTAAAACAGATATTGAGCAATCCATGACTTATACATGTTGCCTGAGATTGTAGAACTATTTTATTTGTATAATATATATATACATATATATATATATATATATATATATATATATCTGAAAAATCTGCATTTCCAATAATAGAGATAGTACTGCAATAAATTGACGTTTTTTCCATTAGCCTGTACTTTTTAACGACAATATCTAGAATGTATTAACTTATGAAAACAGTACAACTATACATACACTTTCAACTATATGGAGCAGATACTTTGATATAGATGGTCAGTAGTTGGACTAATGGTTCTTCAATACTAATTTTTATCAATTAAGCAATTATAATAAACTATGTTAATGCATATATATATATATATAACTGTTCAAAACAAATTTCTTTTATACTTATATAAACTAGTTAAAGACAGTTAATACTAGTGTTATTAACTAAAATACTTTGAAATGTCCACTTTATTCATCCATCTAAAAAGCATTTCACTTAATAATTGTGGTAACTATATATATATATACTTAGTAGTAAAGTAAATCAAGTATTATAATTATCTTGATGTAATTTTATTTTTAAAATATCTTCATGCATAATTATAATTAACTTTCTTGGTGTTAATTAATCAGTTTACCTACAATCCAAATATCTTTACTTGAAATCTCTTTGAGTTAATAAAGTTTTAAAAATTCTAAGCGTACTATTAAAATAATTATGAAATACTGGAATTTCGGACATTCGAATTCAGTGTAATCAGTAAAATCTGATCAAGAAGAGATTCTCTTTCATGCAGTTATCTGAAGACTATATATATATATATATACCAGGACGAAACGGCCGTCTCTCAGTGCTTCCAGGTTTATAATGGCGGTCTAACTTTGACCGATTCATGATTTCAGCAAAACAATTTATTCTACGCCATTCTCAGAACAATCTTTCATTAACTAGTTAGTTTGACATGGTATTTTACTCATTCACACTATTTTTTTATTGCTATAATTTACATACATATTCTTGTATTACAACCATTTTATAACATCATCATTTTATTTATTGTTCATATATTTTAGTAGTCATTACTTGAGAATTCATACTGATACATACACACTGTTGGATAGTTTGATCATAAACTCACTGAAAACAGTATAATAATAATATGTAATATGATATGATTCAAACTTGATAGTAAATATTTTTGAAGTGAATAAGAATTAAAGTTGGCTGATTTACAAGCTAACCGTATGATTATCAGATCGAACTTAATAGGGTATGCATCAAATTATAAACTTAATGCACTTTCCTTCGTTTACTGCTTGCTAATTGATAGAGAAATTATATGGATTCGATCTAAAATACCACTGTTAGTTAAATTTTGTTTTGTTTATGTATAAGAATGTCTGGAACGTCAAAGAAAATTATCACGAAATCGGATTTGTATCATTTATGAATGTCAGTCATTAAACATAAAGAATTTAACATTTTAGGAGAAATTTTCGACAGTCTGATCTCTGCTTACGTACATAACAGGATACGAATTACCAAGAAGCTTAAAAGTAAGTAATCTTAATCCATAACATTCGATCAGGTGATCAGTTAGGCGTTTGTTCAAAGCTAGATTAAAGCACTTGTACAGTTCTGACTAGTTTGAATGCTTCAGTAAATATCATTTAACCGTAGGTAAATGTGATCAGTAATGTTGTATTGAAGTCCAACTTTATTATTAAATGCTTCTCTATTTACAACCAACCACCACTATTTCATTTCAAGTTTGCTAGGCAGATTGGATAACACTTGAGAATAACACATAATTATGTCACTTTTCCAAAAAAAACCTCAAAATAAAAAGGTATTTTTGAAACAAATATGCAAAATTAATTAAAGTTTGAAGTGCGTGTGTGTGCGGTTTTTTTTAAAAATGACTGAATTTCATATTGCATCATGGATAACTGAATGTGATGCATTTGTGGACTGGTAGTGTGTAATGAAAAACCAAAACACCAACCACTGTTCATACGAAGAAATTTTGTGCGCAAAAAAAACTGATTCATAGTGGTAACATCGATTTAATACACATTTGGTTAGTTAATAATGATTCGATAGTTTCATATCCGTAGGTTAATTGGGGTTTTTGTTAAATTTATTCAGGAGTTTCTGCCTCACAGTATCACGCTAATAATTTAAGCATCAGATAATCAGTAATAAAATCATTATTGAATGAAGTTTACCCTGATTTACTGGTATAATTTCGTTTGGTTAGAAAATTGTCTTATTGTAAAAAAAACCCCATGGTGGAAGAAATAAAACTCTCTGAAAGAGAGTACATCTATTTATCTTCACGAAAGTAACTTGTCAAAATTAAATGTTAACTTCAAATCGGTTGTTTACTTTTTTTAAAGACAGAACCGTCACTTTGGCGCTAAATGTATCAAATTCAATTTTCCTATCAAGGATTTAGTGCAAATACGATGTAATTTTTTTTTTGTTTTAAGCAATCCACTCAATGTTCAGTTTATTTGAAACAATAAAGTCAAGTGTAATTGTTGATACTTAGACAATTGTTGTTGAACTTTGTAGAAAATATTTTAATTTATAACTATGCATTGTTTGGAATATTCTTCATACATAGCTAGCATTCCTTGTTTTATCTATAGGCAATTGGTCGTCGGTTTCTATTTTGTTGACTGTAAACATTTGTCTTCTTATAGGGTGTGTACTCTAACTCACCAGTGAGTTGTTATTCACTTTATTTCTCTTACCAATAGTTGAATACAATGGTAGGTGAATTATTTGGAATAAATCTTGACAAGAATTTACAATTTAAATTAGGAAATAAAATACTCTAAATTACAACCAACACACATAAATTACGGTGGAAACGTTTTTTCTCTCTACTGCTGTTAAAATCATGTGAATTTTACTTGGGAAAAAAGTTTGGAAATAATGAAACATGAAATAGGAATTTTTTATTTGTTCTATATATTTCTAGGTTTTACTTGTACAAATGTTTTATATCAAAATACCCACTTTTTTGACTGGTTTTCAATTTTTGTTCACATTCTTGTTCAAATGTGAAGAGTTTTTTTTGTTTAAAGGAAGGTTGAATTTTAAACACTGATACAAAATAATTGTTTTAGATAATTTTTTGTGTTTACCTATTTTTTTTTATCAAACGGAAACAAATATTTTCAATATACAATGCTTAGGACATAGCTATTCACCAAAAACAAACAACAATTTTACAAAGAACGATTAGTAATTTAAGATAAAGATAGAAGTCAACATTCCATGAAGTAAGATAAACAGCTTATGCAAGGTCGAATAAAACAGCATGATATTTGCGACAAACAATAACAAAACATTTGCAAAGACACAAGTCATTCGCATCGATGAGATTGTAGATTACTTTAAATCACCGTGTATAATCTTAAATGCGTTAAGTCTTGAGTTTAGTTATGTCTTTGTGGTAGGAGGCCTGTGCTGCATTAAGGGTAACAGGCGTAAATAAGTAAGTAAGTATAATTATATCTTCAGTGAAAATACAGTATGACCTACAGGATGTCAAAATAAAACGTTGAAAAATCATTATTTTCACTAAAATTGTGATAACAAAAACTCTCTTGTTTCTTGTCTTTTTAGGTATTTACATATCAGATATTCCACATGTTGATTCTTGTTCTTGGAAAGCCCCATGGAGTCAAGTAACGCGAGAACAAAAGCGATATTTACGCAAGCGATATAGCATTCATTGTGGCATATGTCAAGTAAGCGAAGAAATAAGTTGTTCATGTAATGATCACATCTTGTCGTTTTTTATTGAAATGTCCGATATAAACAGATAAGAGAAAGGCTTTCTCCACAAAACTGATAAGAAAGTACTAGAAAATAAAATATTTCTCTGAAATGGCAAAGTTTGGTGAAAGTATATTATTTCTAAGTCCTAACTACCAGTGTATTTATCGATCGTTTTATTTTCAAGTCAAGTTGTTTTGTAGTTAAAATCATTTTAATATAGAAGCCTAATAATTTTTATCAAATCATTTAACCTTGAAAAAAAAACCATGTTCAATAGCTTAACAACCTAATATAGTAAGTTTTGAATTTCCATCTCGCAAACAATTTGCGGATTTGATTGTGAACTTAAATTTCATACCACTAGAGAACTAAGTTAATTATCAGTCATGAAATCTGAATTAAAATATTGGTTTATTTTCAATAAAATTTCTTAGTCTAAATTATGAAATAAACACCTCTAATATATAAAGAATCAGACAATTAGTGTTTCTGCTTAAAAATAACAAATAATCAAGTTTAACTGCAGCTAAAAACTTATGATGTTCGCAGACAATAATCCTTCATTTTTTTTTATAAATCATTCAGCCAAACTGGCTTTTAAATAATTAATTCCCTTATCAAGTGTTATTTCTTCAATGTTCAACAATTCAACACTTAAACTTTCTGTCACAACCACTCATACTGAATTAAATCAATCTGTAAACAGTAATTTTTCAGTGTAGACCGAAAGTAAAGACTTCTAAACAAGGACAAAAAAAGCTAATCCATATATATGTAACAACTGAATATGATAGAGTACTTACAGTAGATAACTAACGTTCATTCGTTTTGCATCCAAAACCAACAAAGTATAGTTTAAAACATAATTCCTTTTCATCAGAAGTGAACTAAATGAGCAATCTTCATAGAAAAGACTGAATGTATTTGTCCTATTTTAATTATCATTGATGTATTCTATAAGAAGTTTTATTTATCATAAGTATTTCTTATCACGTCACAATTCGATCAGGAAATGTGCATCTTTACAAAATGTTGATTAACATTCCATAGCTCACATATAACTGTCATCACTAACACTTTTGTAATATACGTTGATTTTATAATTTTATTTTCTAGGACAAACCTTCATCGTCAGTACATATGATTATTTAGACAGCCCATTTAGGCCTACAATTTCATCGAGCACTATGTACAACGTTTACATACGATTTTGAGTCTAACATCTAAGCAGAAAATTCAAATTCAGCATATATATTATTTAAATTACGACTAAAATTTATTTTTAAAAAAATTACTGGATAACAGTTAGTTGTATTAGCGCGTGTTATATCTCAGGCTTATTGATTCAACAACAAATAAGCTTAACAGAAAAAAAAGGATGTCATTGATAGCAAATCTTTGGCATTCAAGTGAAAAATAGTTTTCAGTTAGATATGAAAAATGTTATTTTTTTAAATCCTGTTCAAAACAATTTATTTTCCCGCCTATTGAATATAAACATTAAAGATAAAAAATTTTTTTTACTGTTTTGTAAGAAAACATTTCTTTTAGCTATACAATTGTGTAGGACTAACTAGCACACACATCAGTTAAGGACAACAAATGATGATTGTTCAATCTCTTTACACATGAATGAATGTTTAAAAGTTTTTACTTCAAAAATAACTATTCATTCTTAGTGATGGTAACAAGGAAAATAAATGACTATATGTAAAAAAACATTTTTTTTAAAAATATAATATAACACTAGTACACGGGGAAAGAGAAAACATTTGTACATAAATAATAGGGTAAATAGTATGTGAAGTAAACTGATCGATTGTTTGAAAGCTGTTCTGTTTCATTCACACATTAACCTTTTTGTTGATTCTTTCAAAGTAAGAAATATATTTTAAGTAAGTGGAAGAAAAAATTGCACAGCTTAACGATATAATAAGAGACATTGGGAATTCAGAAAGATTAAGTTTGAACTTGTGTGCTTTTCAAAATTTCACTAAAAAGAAATGGTATATAGAAAGTCATAGTGTGTGTAATTGTTAATTCATTCGGTGCTCTCTGCTTGTCAGTACATTATCATGACAAGCTTCATAATTAAATGTTGTAATTCAAAGATTACTTATTCAATATACCATAGCCATTCTACTAAGATATATCTTGCTTCAAATAAACGGAATCGAGATATAGGATCGCATGAATCACATTGGCTTCATTTCAATATTGACTGAGTGCATCAATGGAACACCAAGAATTAAAAAATATGAAATAACTTTATACCAAATAATCAAAATGTTTCAGTCATGTAGATCAATCAAGACACGAACAGCTTAGTCGTAACGTTACAGACAATCTCACTAACGATAAAGATCATTGCCATCGGGTGTACATCAGTTATCTAAGATTCATAACTGAAAAACGTTTTCTTAAGTAGAAAAAATTTGAAATTCGTTAACAAATGATTTGAAATATGCTTAAATGAATCTTTGATAGTAATAATTGCTATTCACTTAGATTTTAATTTGCATATAATAATTTAAAGGAAGTTTAGCCTAAATAACAAAAACATTTATCTTAAATACCATTTAAAAGTACTCACTTGTCTAATAATTAGATCTGTCAATAAGAAACCCAAGAGAACAATTTACGCATTAGTTAGTTAGTTAGTTATTTTATAATTACGTTAATTGAAGGTAATTGGTAAAAGTATTTTTTTCCGAAATATTTTAAAGTCATCTACGGTAGAGACAAGATCGGAAGACACAATTATCATGTTCCCACCTGGATGACAAAAATAAAACAAACAACTTTTCAAAACTTCATACAGTACTTGAAGCTATGTGCATGGAAGATTTATTTTAGTGCGCCATTGGAATATTCAAAATCAACTGCAGTTGAATGTTTCATAATGACTACATTGATTGACTATTTTGTTGATGACGATGTGAAACTTTTGGTTTCTCCGTTTATGCATGATAAACTAGATAGTAGAAAACTGTGGTAATCTTTCAGTGTACACTTGTTTCTTAACCAGACTATCAAAATTTATTTAGTCAAAAACAGATCAACATATAATAGTAGTATATATTCGTCCAAATTTGGATAGTTATTTCTTAGTCTACTTCTCCGAAGATGAATGTGAAACCTGCTAGTTATTCACAGATAACAGTGTACAAAAAAGTCTTATAGGCTTACAAATGTGTGTTTTTTCCAAGAAATCGATTATTGCTCTTACCTTTTTACTAAATTATAACCTTGATAAAGATTTCTGTATCATATCGTTATTATCGCGTGTAAAGCTTATTCTATAAACCAGAGATAAAAGATATATACCCGGATAGCTAGATCAACCAGATTAGGCAGATGTTTATTCAGACAGGACATCAAGTCTTCCATACAGAGTTCATTTAAACGAAATTTGTTTATTTTTCAATGTAGAATGCTGAATGGTCACATACCAGCACGCAACGACTATTCAGTTCTTTCAGCTTTCTAAAAGTGGTCTAACAATGATTGATCCACAATTTCAACGTAAAATCTTTGTTACTCAATCCGGTAACTTCATCAGCATAAACCCTATACAGATTTAGATAATGTTGGAGTAAATCAACCTAATTTAATAGATCCACAGAATTATTGAAGACATGTAACCTGTTTTGTTAAAATAGTCACCACACAGAAACAATTGTTTTTATTATAATGTTACCAAATGACAATATTCCTTTGATATAAAAAAAATTCGTTAATTATCTTACACGATTGCGATTTGATTTTCCAAACACCGACTTGCTGATAAAATTAATTTTTATTAAAAACAGTGACTAATGGTTTCAAAGAAAACGCTCATAAAGTGAGTGATGATTTTTTATTTCAACGAAAACAACAGCCTTTTTCTGACAATGTTCATAAAGGATAGGTAATCTGAATGCTAATTTGCATTGCTAACTTATTTTGACTGAAAAACTGCAGAATACTAGTAAGAGTTAAGTAGATATTACTTTCTAGTATATGATTATTCAAAAGTAGGAGCACACTATTCGTCCAGGATTAGAATCCAGTTTCTTCAGAACTTGAGGAGATGAAATACTTTTCCGTCGACGAACTGATATTTAACTGCTGGAAGTTTCAACTTCATTCTATACGTTGTATTGAGTTACAGTGACCATTACGATTATTAATAATTGTATCCTTCCAGCAACCACTTCTTATGTAAATCATGGAAGTTTGCTTAAAAAACAGCTTGTAGCAGGTAATTAAATACTTTTGAAACAGTTGGTGGCTTTTAACTCAAACCGACTGTTACGCAAAGCAAATTAATCAAAGTACCTTCGTTTTTTGATATTTAGGTATAAGTCTTCCATTGGCAATAATTTTCTCGGTCATTTTTATAACCCGACCTATCTAATAGTAATTTCTAGTCCATATTGTTGAATCCTATATTCTGCACTTTGATAGTCACACATTTTGAAACCATGAATCGATCAATGTTAGACCACCATTAGAAACCTGGAAGCACCGAAAGACGGCCGTTTCGCCCTGGTATGGGACTCATCAACAGTGCGCATCCACGACTCCTGCACCCCTCGGGATTGTGCGTGAACGCCTAATCTCTGGACAACTGAGCAGGTATTGAATGGCGTTAATGTCTAACTTGATCAATTCACGGAGTTGCGCAACCTAATACACTGTCTTTGGTATCTACTGTCTACACCCGAACAGATTGAATTTCACTGGTCATGACCTCCCACTAGAACTCATAGAAGATTCCTCACGGAGCTAATGAATAGTGAGCACAGGTAATTGCATTACAGGGTTGTGAAGATTGTTAAGTTTCACATTTTGAAATCATGAATCGATCAATGTTAGACTACCATCAGAAACCTGGAAGCACTGGACAGCCGTTTCGTCATAATATCAAAAATTATTCCCCGAAGTAAAATAATGTTCTAAGATTTCATTTAAATATTCTAATGATCTTCTTTCAATATTTATTTTATTCTCCTTTTCAATTTATTTTTATTTTGTTTATTAGTTACAAAGAGTTTTATATGTCAATCCATTGTATCATCGAAATCCAAAAACTTGTTATCTACCAATCAGTCCAAATTCCAATGAAATGATGTGTAGAGATAAATTCTCATTGTGCCGATTACAACGAAGAACAAATCGATGCAGTTTTTTAAATAATAAACCATATCGTATATGTGAGACATGGTCAACTAGACAAATCTAATTTATTTATTTTTTACAATATGAACATTAAAAATGTTTTTTTTGCTTCTCATTGTTTTAATGACTAGTGTATAACGCTTCAAACCACTGACAATCCTTATTATTAATATACTATGTAAATATATATACATACATATTACAAAATACTTTAAACAAACAGAACCTCAATTAATTTGGACTTGCACAGATAATATTGATTTAACTGCCTATGTGATTTTTAACCTCAAATTAATTTATACTATTTTCACATTCCACAGAATTCAATCTTATTCAAATTATATTCATAGTATTCAACTGTCCTCATCATCTTTAATCGATTAGATTTATGTCGATTGTATATCTGGTATATTGTGTGTGTGTCTGTGCATTTATCTGTCTACCGAACATCAAATGATATGAATTATAATTCACATAATTAATAGGTATGCATGTATGTATGCTTTTTCGAATGATCCGCTGTCATTTCAATGTTTCATTAATTGATCATTTTTCATTTGGGCGCCTTTTTGTCTCTGAGAGTAATGTGCATTTTCTTTTTTTTTCTTCGTTAAACTTTTCAATAAATTTCTGTACAGAATAATAATATTGTTTGTTTGTTGCTTTTTTTAAAGATTTTATTGATAATTTATATTTGAATTGATAAAAAAAATAGTTGTGTGTAATATAAGCTTATTGTGTTTTTTCAGAGTACAATGAAATATAAAAACTAGAGTAATCAATATAAAGATATCATTTACTAGGATAACATTTTAAAATAATTATACCGTACATTACTCTGTGCAGAAATCTTTACACATGTTCTTTTAAAACATTCATTTTCATGATAAACTGCCTAAAATCCATAAAACGTTCAATGAACTTTTTGAGCTTAATGAACCGATGAAAATTAGCCCATTATTGAAGTCATGAAATTACTAGACGATGGATTCACCGTAGTAAGAAACTCCTTGGGCGCTGCATGTGCTTAAAAGCTTCAGTATCATGTGTGAACGCTTACTTCAAAGCATTGAGCCAACATCCAATGTGTTGATGAGCACTGTTGAGAAGTCTCATATTAGATGAGACAGATGTCCACTATTTCAAGGCCTTCAGTTGTGGCCTAGTTTAGATAGGTTCGTGATTCTGATGAAAATTAAATATTTCTTCGATGAACTATGCTACATAAAATAAACTGGTAATGAATTTCATTTCATTTGTAGGCATTAAGTTGTAATCAATCATATTAACTAATAGGATAATCACTGATAATACCTGACTGACCTTTCATTCCCTATATTCTTTCTACAGAATACAGCTAGCTATTCCGACTACTTATATTAGTTTAATTATAGAATAATACATACAACCATTAAAAGAGTAAGTACATAGATAGACTAAGTTTACATAGAAGACTCTAAAAATAAACACCTCCAAACAAGGTTTATTAAACATAGGCTAAAAATGAAGCTTTCTTATTACCATGAAACAGAATACAAGCAGACTTCAATAATTAAAGCACCCGATTCAGAAATGAACACATCTGGATAAAACTAAACCAAAAATTACGATTTAATCTGCTTGTGTACTTACAAAAATTCATTTTTGTTACAAAATCTTGATCATAATCTGTAGATTAGAGAATTTATTGTAAGAATAATGTTAAAAGCAGAACATGAAATTCTGTTTTGTTTAGTTTGCGGTATTTGAATATCACAACTAGGAATTTAGGTATTACAGATGCATATATTAACTGAAATGTTACATATAAGTGAAGTTATGTAAACTGAAGATTACACCAGATCATATTTTGCACCAAGTAAGTAACATTAAAAATTAGAATGCAATCAAATTAAGCATCAGTCAGTATAATACTACCTCATGTTGATAACATCACTGTATATTCGTAATTAAATGTTCTCAGAATAATCCACCACATTTTGTACGAATGTTCTAAAAGTAAATTCTTCAAGTTTTCACTGCTTTTTTTTGCTTCAGATTCAATCAAACATTTAACTAATTATTGAAAAGGAGTTACAGTGTAAGAATATGTGAATTGATAAAAGTGATGTATATCATAATTTTTTCATTCAATTTTCAATCTCTTTTATAATCACAGAAATTAAGGATTTAATTACACTTTGAATAAAGTAACATTGTTTAATATCCAGACAATTGTTTAAAAGATTTAATCATTTTAAAGTGTGTATAAAATGTATTTTAATTAGATTTTAACAGTAGCTATTATTATTATTACTATTAATAATAATTGTGTTTAAATTATTCTGATTGTATGAAAATACAAGTTAAGTAAAACATAAAATTTAAGTGTTCAACAAGTTGATTTGAATGCTAATTGTAATATTAAATACTGATTTCAAACTAATTTTTTTAAGTAGTATCGTTTGTCTGACATAAAATTTTGATGAATATAACCATTTTCTAATAATTTTCAAAATTTTTTTTAGTAAATACATTTGATAGTATTTTTTTTTCTAGAGTTTGTTGTATTTACTGCTTTATTGTCTAACTAACAATTTCTTTCATATTATTGTCTTTACCACCTTGCATATCTATCAGCAATTTAGTAATTTACTGATATCTGTATCAGTGTTTTCCCGTATTCAAAACTCTGCAATACAACGTAATTGTATAGTTAGTGACTTGAAAATGCTTACTTTCAATTTAGTTAAGTAAATTTCTTACTCATGTAGTCATTATAATGCTTAGAATTGAACAATATTCACTGTTGTTGCTTTGCTTCTTCTAGTGAATACGCGTTTTTAAACGAAACCGAAAGTTCCTCTCATCAATATGATGGTTCATTATTCAGATGATTTAAACAGAATAAATGGCATTGATCGTGTTGTATTATTCGTATTTTCGAAAATAAACAACTGTATTATCAATCAAGCATTCTTCAATGATGTTATTTATGATTTTCATAACGGATTTTAACCAAACAACATAAAAATGAAATTATCACCACTGCTGATATGAAAACGAGCTGAAATACCATTAGTAGTTGTACAATTTGTAATAGTATTTAATTGTGATGGACATTTACAGTACTTGAAACTGTAATGGTTTAGTAATAATTTTCCATCAGTTACATTCAATGCAAATGAATATAATTGTTCACATATATATACAATCATTATTATTTATGATTAAATTAATGGGATATTTTTGATTAAAAAACAATACGGTAGCATGTACAATTACACACATCTGTATATGTGTACATTATTTATCATCTAATTTCTGTACATTAAGTATGCAGTTATTTGTAAAAATCTGTTAATCTACAAGACAATGTGTTGTTATTGTTAGATAATATAGAAATCCAATATATATCAAGGTAATTTAAAATAAAACTAATTGTTTGTCAATGCTTGTCATTTTAAATTTAAATTATTCAAAATGTTCGCATTTACTACTTTAAAAGTCAAAAAGGAAATATTTTGTACGTCGTTGATAATTTACTCAAAATAGTTTCCTATGCTAATTGAATTAATTGATACTCACTTTTAATGTAATGTTAGTCTATTGAAATTACAAAGTAGAGCACCATACTGAGTGGTTTAAATGTATACAATCTAATCAGTTGTCAATTACTTCCTAGTGGAAGATATATTTAGCCGAAAAATACCAATATGGATAATCATCAGGTCAGTTACTGTAGAATCCAAACTGAGGTTTGGATTGAGTAATAACTGTTCAGGTACGTTAGATACGCGACTTGCCCAGTTTAAAATCAAAACAAGTGATATGGGTAAATGTCGGTTGTACTGTTCATCATAAATATAAATATACATCATTACCTGAACAATATTATAACAGCTGTTCCAAAATAATTGTTCGATTATTCAAATAAATAGTATTCTATCCCTCCTGGATAGATCAGATTCGTTCGACAGATAATATTTGGTTGCTTTATAACACAGAGTGTTTCCTATTATGTAAGAGTGCTTCAGTTCACATTCAAAATGCACAATTCCAGTCCATGCAAGCAATCCAATCAAAAGAGGAACAAATCAATATGACTGTCGCCATGACTAAGTATCAGATTAAACAACATAAATGCAGTTCAGAAAGAAACATAGAAACACAGTAAAGGCAGAAGAAATAGAAACTATAATAAAATACAAATATTGTCATCTCAAAATGGAATCGAACAGATCAATAAAATGTACAACTGAAGGGATCACTAGGGACATATTACAAATGTATACATGGAGGGGTTTTTGCAAACAAAGCATTCAAAAATGCATCTTACAATTAATTCCCGTCACTTGTCAGTAGCTGAATAAATCATATTCTGTATCGTTAACTTAAATTTTTTTCTTGAAATAAAATAACTGAATTACTTGACAGCGACTACTAGCTACCTGTTTTGTTTTGGAGATTCTGAAACACTGTGAAATGAACGATAAGAAGTCTACTGTGAGGAAAATTAGTCCATTTCTTTAAGATGATGTAACTTCGTTGTCACCAATCTAACTACTAAATAAAACTGATTACTAACTTTAAGTTTTATAGTTGACGGTTTAAGAATGATGGTAGATGGATATGATAACAAACAGTGAAACAGGCAATCATACAACCATGCAATATTGAAAAGAGATAACTATCTATCTGTTATCAATCTAGTCAGGAATTCTAACACAACAATAACAATAGAACAGTAGTTGTGTTCACATTAGAATCCTAAAGCATTGTCTGTTACATTTTACCTCAATTAAAATTTCCTTATTTTTTACTATAAAATATTTTCTTCATAAAAATTTATACTTTTAACATGAAGCATTCATTAATTGTTGGTATTCAATTAATCGTTTGTTGACCTACATTTGAAATTATTTTTTTTTTATTTATTTATTCTTAGTAGTATTGCTTTTTATTTTCTTAATGTATACATACACATATTACAAAAATTTATGAGATTATCAATTGACCTTATTTTATTTCATTGCTATCGTAATTTTTTTATTTCACTGTTTTACTTTTTATTCACACTTGAATTCATTTTTGGAATATTTTTTTTCATTTTTATCGACCTTAATTAGACATTTTTTTTTAATGAATTCATTGGTCATTATTTGTATAGATAATGATAATAATAATAATAATAGTAATAATAACTTTTATTTATTTTAAAAGATCAAATTACATTCAATATCAAGTACAAATCAACTGAAATTAGTACATATTATAATACTGTAACAATGAATTACTTTTTCTTTTTGGTTAAATATATATATATATATATACACTTTCATAAAAAGTGTAAGGTAAATTATACTCATAAAAATAATCTTCATATTAGATTAGTATTATGTTATATAATAATTTATGCTAGAATAATAAAATGTTCAAGATTAATTGGTAGTTAGTTGGTGTTTGTTCTTCTTTATTTTTTTTTGTTTATTGAATATTGTAATTTCCTGATTTTCTATTTGATTCTATTAAATGAGAGATGGATTTAAAAGTATAATGTGTACTTTTACAGAATTGAACTTACTTACTTACTTACTTAAGCCTGTTACCCTCCCCCAAGCATAGGCCATCCACCAGTTTTTACCAACCAACTCTGTCCTGGGCTTCCCTTCCCAGTTATGTCCAATTTTTTTTCATTCTTCTTATGTCTTTCTCACTTTCTCGGCGTAATGAGTTCTTTGGCCTTACTCTTTTCCTTTGACGTTGAGGATTCCATGTGAGGGCTTGTCTTGTGACGCAGTTAGGTGCTTTTGGTAGTGTGTGTCCTATCCACTTCCACCGCTTCTTCCTGATTTCCTCCTCCACTGGAATCTGGTTTGTTCTCTCCCATAGTAAGTTGTTGCTGATGGTGTCTGGCCAACGAATCCGAAGTAGTTTGTGTAGACAACTGTTAATAAACACTTGTATCTTCTGGATGATGGCTTTTGTAGTTCTCGAAGTTTCCGCTCCATACAGTAGAACTGTCCTGACATTTGTATTGAAAATCCTGATTTTGGTTTTGGTTGAAAGTTGTACATATTCTACAGCAGCCTAGACAGGGAATAAGATCTAATATTTGATTAAGTTAAGTTGACTATAGCGAATCGACAGAAAAAAACGAAATCTATATGAAATGGGGTTTCGTTAAATTCTTTACTCAGATAAGAAACAAGATCATTACCCTCTTAGACTCGTAAAGTCCTTATTGAGCTTTTTTTAATCATCAAAACTAGCTGAGTAATTACTCATTTAAAATCATTAATTAATAACCGTTAGACCACCATTAGAAAGCTGGAAGCAGTGGACGGCCCTTTTGTCCTGGTATGGGGCTCATCTGCAGTGTGCATCCACGACTCCTCCACCTCGCAGGATTGGAACACGGAACCATCGGTATTGTGCGCGGACGCCTAACCATTGTACCACTCAGCCGGCATCAAACGCTGTTAATTTCTAACTCTGATTGATCTAGGGATTTCGCGCGACCTCACCCATTTGTCTTCGGTAGTTACTGCCTACACCCGACAGGGTCGAACTCCACTCGTCACGTCCTCAGGACGAAACGACCGTCCAGTGCTTACAGGTTTCTAATGGTGGTCTAACAATCATTGATTGATGATTTCAAATTTGTAAAAACACTAATCTCCATAACTCTAATTGAATAATTACTATTTCGAACACGATCTCCTTTCCAAAATGAATAGTTTCTCTGTTATTTATCAACATGGCCTTAATTTTGATTGCTTTAAAGGCCCAATTCGTCCTCAGGATTGGATTGTCGTAATCCTCTACATTCAAACTATATTTACATCGCTCTCATTAGGTGTTTGATTTCTGACCAGTCATTTCCTTCTAATCATCAACACAGTGAAAATGATTAAGCGTCAATCAGATATTCTTCCAGAGAAAAGATTTTCCACATCAAAATGTAATCACTTTGTTTTTCCACCTCACCAACACCTTATAAATGTTCTTGTAATCGTCCGGAAAATTTTATCCATAAAGAACCCGAAATATTAATTTATATTTTGTTATTTATTGCTTCTATAACGAATAAACTTCGTAATAAATAGCCTCTCGACTAGTGTTTCTTGACATGTTTAGAACGCTCACTTACCAATTAGCACTATATCTGAACATATAAATTAAGGAGACGACGAACATCAGATTGATATTTGTAGTGGCTGTCCCTTATTACATTAATTCCTTGCTCGCAATTTACATGGCAGTTTAGCAGTGCATATTGTTGTTAAACTGATAGATGAACTTTAAACTGAAATTACATTATATCTAATAAATATGTCATTTAGTAAAATGACTTTATCACTTAATCATATTTGATAAAGACACGTGAAAATCCCGGAAGTTTCTATAAATCATTCGCAACTTTCAAATAAAAAAAATTCCATTAATGAAACATTCATGTGTTCACTCGTCGACTCCACAGTAAATTTCTACGTACTACTTTATACTACTAACTAGTAAGTAACAAAATTCAGCTTAAAAAATTAAGCTGCCCGTGCAGATAAACAGCATTTCGGTCTACGCATTACCTTATTTAATAATAAAAATGAACAAACCTCATGTCTAAGATTGACATCAGTGAACCTAGTGACGTCGCATAAAAACTATTTTTCAATAAACTGAAAAAAAGTCTATAATTATTTGAAGACAATACTTTCAACAGTAATAGACTTTCATATTATTTTTTGTTACAAAATTAATATACTGAGTTAAATACAAATATAGATTAACTGTAACTTCTTAAGTGTTATTTTAGACACATGGCATATATATTCGTTTAGTTGAATCTTTATGACGATCTAATATGACTTGTATTCGATAACGTCGATAACCATAATCACATCCTTTACATATATCCCAGAGTGGACATATTGGACAGCATAAAATGTCTAAGTACTTCATACACATTATACCACCAGGAGAATAACAACACTGACACATGGCAAATTCACGTGCATTTCTATATGGTGGTAAATTCCATTCTTCTTCTGATGGTTTCGGCACTATAGAAGGACAACCAGATGGACATTCTCGTGTAGCTTTTTGTAGTGTATAATAAATAATATCACATTTGTCAGGCATTGTACAACATGCACAAGATTCACAACATGCTGACAGTAAACAACAACGTATCTTATTGGAATTGAATTCTGAAGAACTTGAACCGTCTTCATTTTCTTCTTCTTCATCATCATCATCATCGTCGTCGTCGTCATCTTCATCGTCATCATCGTCTTCATCTTCATCGTCTTCATCTTCATCATTCTCATCACCTTCAGAATCTGTATCACTTCTCCGGACATAATTATGTGAATTTTTAAATAACTGAGCATATAGTGTAATATCTGTTTGACTATCATGTCGTTTGATAGTTTTATACTTGTTGTTACATAATTTTACTGGAATACATTCAGGTTGTTTCGTAATAACACGTGTTGTCATTTATTTAAACAAAAAAACAATGGTAGATAAAACGTAGACACTAGAAAACTTAATTACCAGTTTAATTATTCTGTTAAATATTACTTTCCTATTTAATTTAATAAAAGGAATATCATATATTATTACCAATTTATGCTTTGATAAAAAAATTAGTTCGGATAGCAGAAAAAATAAAGTGACAGACCAATTTGAAATGAGATTAAATTGATTTTTCCACATTGAATTATACAGATTATCATATGACTGAAAATACTAATAGATGAAAGCTAAGATTAATTATAAAATAGTATTTTTTTTAAAAATGAATAGACCTCTTTACCACTAGTTTTATACAGAACATCATAAGACATATTTCAATACAGCAAACCAGAAAAGATATAAGCGACATCATTGATAGTATACTATGCCGAAAAAGGATGATTATTGACATCAACAGTTTATGTTTCTATATAAGAAGTTTTAAATGTTGATGAAAACAAACATCTATGGTTAATTAGCACCTAAAATGATATCAACATTAAGAAGATAAACATTTAATACACGGTCTAAATTGTTTAGGATAAAATGAGTTATGCATGCATATATAAAGATACTATTTGAATGATGAAATACAAGTTTAATGAAACTTAACACGTTAAGGATTAATTGTTCACTTGTTGTTAAGTAGTAGGTAATTACTTGAACTACTAATTGGTTATGTAAATCATTAGCATAATTGAAAATTTAGTAGTTCATTACTTTTTTAGGGTTAACATTACCTTCGTCTGACTTTTCATAGATGGACCTTCTACCGGGAGGCGCACCGGTTGACTTAGAATATGCCGATGGTGTAATTCTAAATGGTGGGGACACTGACAAAATGCAAAGTCTCCTGACTACCCTAAGAAACAATGTAACCATATGCGGGATGAGAATTCTCCCCTTCGAAATGCAAAATGTTGCTTCAGGATTGGTGTCCATTGGTACCTAAATTGATATGTAATGAAAGAGTCGAGCGTGTCGACCGCTTCACTTATCAGGGAGGTCCCATCAATGCGAATGTCCTGGTGTGTGACAAAATCTCAGCACGGATACAGAAGGCTCGACTGGCTTTTGCCAAATTGCGTCACCTACGGCATAGGCGAGATATCCATTTACTAATCAAACGACCAGTCTACTGTGCAGCAGTTCGCTCCGTCCTACTTTATGGCTGTGAAACATGGCTGGTAACAGTTGAAGATATTCGTCGGTTATTAGTATTCGGTTATAGATGTCTTGGAAGAACTGCTCGTGTATCCTGAGGACAACCTAGTAGGCAATGCTGCCGTTAGGGGATGAGTATTAAATAAGAATGGCAGGTCAATAGATGAAAACTTCATCTGTCACGGTGGTTGGGTAATATGTCACGTACACACGACCGCTGACTCCCTCGAAGAGCGATGTTTTGTGGTGTAGGAGTAGGTTGGAAGAAAGCTAGGGGCGGCCAAACCAAAAATTGGAGCAAATCCATGAAGATACTGACACATGGATTGAGCCATATTGGTAGATGCAGACTACATGGTTGGGGTCTGTGAGATGATAGTGTAGTGCCTCCACATATATTCCAGTTCTCTTACATCTAACTTGGTTAAGCCCTTTCGATTAATTTATTTTACCAAGCCATTTGTATAGCAACAACTCATATGTACCGTTGTTATTTTTTATTATCTGCTTTGTATGAGCTTATACGACTGAGCATTGCTTACGCCTACGCGCTTACTCATCCTTTTCGCTTTAATGTTAATCTCTTAATTTCCCCATGAACTCACATGATTTGTATCGCTTGCTTTTGACCTAGTCAATCACCCGTCGTTTATATTCATGTGTGTGCATACCAATTTCGCTTGTCATATGTCTGTCTTATTTATGCCCGACTATATATTCTTAGTCATACTCTATCTCTTTGAGTTGGCTCTTAGCCTTCTCCTATTCGCTTCTCCGCTTCGCTTTGTGGTGTGCCTCGAATAAACGTATTCATCAATACGAGTTCATCTTCTGATTCATAAACCGAGCTTAAGAACACGCAGTTATCGGCACACTACAATAGTAAGCGATGGTTAGAGTCCTTGAATGACATGGCCCGGTATTGTTTACGACTGCACGTGTGCATTCACTCTGTTCTTTGAAATTCTAATTTTCTGAATTCCCCATCACCTCTATCTTTCTCTTTCTAAACTTATTTCACTGAATTATATATAACTTTTGGATAATTTCTTCGAACCTTAATCTTCTCCATTGCCGCTAATACTTCTACTATTGTAGTGAGTCATTCAATGTTTAGCTCACATGACTTAACCCACTTGTCTTTTGAGCTTGTCACTCATTCGTCGCTTGTATTCATGTGTGTGCATCCTTACTGTCTAATTTTTATCTGACTATAAATTCTTAGTCATGCTTTGTCTCACGGAGTTGGCTCACTAGCCTTCTCCACCTCGCTTCATACATTCATTCGCCAATTCGCACGTTCGCCCGCTAGTGTGCCTTCCCTATCTACTCGTGGTCTGCTGTCCCATTTTGTAGTGTGCTAAAAATAAACGAATTCGACACTTCGTATTTGCCTTCTGATTTAAAACCATCAGGTGTTATTTGGTGCTGATTGCCTAAATAAGCGGATTACGAAGATTAAGAACACGTTGTAATCGGCTACCACACTATCTCTACCACTATGGGATTTGAACTGACAATTGCGTCTCTATGCTAATGTTGTATGGCAATCTGAACTTATGTACATACTTACGAAGTTCTATGCTGTAACTGACTGACTGAATAACTTGGGTATTGTGGTTTTTTATGAAATGAATTCCACTTTGCTCACTCATTCTATACACTTTTTAATGAATAGTTATAAATATTATCGCTGTAATTTATACAATCTACGAAGCTTACAATCTGATACATAAAACTATAAGCAATGATCACACTCTCATGTTTAACTTATTTTTCAGTTGTCAAATACAAATCAGTCAGTTACAACGTAGAACTTCGTACGTACATGAGTTCAGGTTGCCATACCACATTAGCACAGAGACACAACTGTCAGTTCAAATCCAATAGTAGAAGTATTAGTGATAATGAAGAAGATTAAGGTTCGATTATATGATTTCAGAAGTATAATTCAATGGGATAAATTTAGAAAGAGAAAGGACAGAGATGATGAATAAATAACTCAGAAGGTTAGAATGTAAGAGAACAACAACTAAATAAATGCATAAATACTCGAGCAATTTCTGCCAACAGAAAAAAACAAAACAAAACGAATTATCAATGAACAATTTTATTTTATTTTATTTTATGCAACAATAATGAAGACAGTAAGAAGAGAATAAACAAATGAATTTACAAAATGACAAATGGATACACAAATTAATATATATATATGTATGACTTTTAAATAAAAAGCATAATCCCATCACCATAACAATGATAATGTTTAATAAGGAATAAAAAAAAACTTCTTTATTTTTAATGTTAATGAATATAATTTAAAAATAATTATTCCATTCTGTTAACAAATATCTGTATTGCTTTCCTAATAATAATAATAATAATAATAATAATAATAATAATAATAATAATAATAATGTCGCTGTTGTTGTTGTCATTTTTTCGTAACATGTAAATAAATAACAGATGAATAGGAGAATAAACAAAAAAAAATCTAACGAATAGTATTAAACTTTGCATCGGTTAAATCTGATCGTGATGGAAACATAACACATAGACTACAATCATCATCGACATCAACAACACGAATTGGACGTACTACAAGAGAATTCACTGGGATAACAATCGGTTGTTTGATTGTTAACTTTTTATCAAATTCATTGACAAGATTTGATTGTTGTTCTGTTGTATTCACTGTGTCTGTATGAACTTTGCCATTATTGTATTGATTTTCTTTTAATTGGGGACAAGCATTTTCTAATAACCAAGCAATAACTAATTCAGCAAATTGTTTGCATACAGGTAAATTGATACCGGAAACTTCAATCAGTATATTGTGTGTGTTTACAGTCAACTGTAAGTAATTTTTTTTTTAGAAATAGGAGAAAAAACAAAACCGAATTATTGAATGATGAATGTAATAAAGAAAATAACACAATATGAATTTATAAGTGACTTAGTCAGTCAGTCAATTACAACGTAGAAGTCCGTACGTATGTACGTCAGTACAGGTTGCCCATACGGCATTAGCACACAGACGCAACTATCAGTTCAAATCCCATAGTGGTGGAGATAGTAGAAGAATTACTGGTTATGGAGAATATTAGGGATCGAAGATATTATTCACGAAGTATGGTTCAGTGAGATAACTGTGGAGAGAGAAAGAGATGATCAGGAATTCTGAAGATTAGAATTTGGGAGAACACAAAGAAAGGATGCACCTGCACCATCGAAAAAGATTTTGAGCCATGTCGTTCAAGGTCTCTAACCATCGATTACTGACGTCTCGCGGACCCCAACCATGTGGCCTACATCTACCAACATGACTCAGTCCACTTGTGAGTGATTTCATGGATTTGCGCCATGTTTTGGTTTGGCCGCCTCTAGCTTTCCTCCAACCTACTCCTACACCACAAAACATAGCTCGTCGAGGTAGTCGGTGGTTGAGCATATGTAATACATGTCCCAATCACGTCAACTGATGAAGTTTCAATACTTCATCAATTGATCTGCTATCCCTGCCTAGTACCTATTAGTGACTAGCAGCTGCAAGCACAGCCACAACAACGTGGAAAACAAAGATAACACAACTAGTTCAAGTAACTCATTAATCAAGTAATGCACTTTGATAGGTAAATTTAAAATAACCTACCATAAAAATAAAGAGCAATGCATAGTGTATTATACTGTGATCTATTTATGCCGCGCACTTTTTTTAATAACAATTTTATAATCATTTATCTGATATGATAAGAGTAATACGAAATAATAATTGGTTAGATTCGGTTATTACTAATTTTATTAATTTATTTTATCGAATAGGCATTGAATAACAAGCTTAAGATATTTATTTTATGAAAACAAAAATTTGTTGCTTCAATTAGTGTTACAATCAGTTGTCTACAATATGATAACTAGATTCACAATCGACAGTTTATTCTATGACAACATGAAGAATACTAACTTGTATCAGAATATTGTATCACTGAGATAATCTTGTAAAAGACAGGAAAAATATTAAGGACTAGGCATGAAAATTCTATCTGAATTTTAATCACCAGATTACCTACTACGGGAGAGAACGAACCAGATTCTATCTGAGGAAGTAATGAGGAAAAGGTGCTGGAAGTGGATAGGAAAGCGCTCAACTGCGTCACAAAACAACCCATCACTTGGAATTCTCAAGGCCAAAGGAGAAGAGGAAGACCAAAGAACACATTACGCCGAGAATGGGAAGCAGACATGAAAATAATTTTATTCATTTAATATTGTTCATGCAGAAGGGTAGGAATAAATCTTCCATAATTATTCCTGATCATTTTTGTTATATTGAACATAAGATTCAAACAATCCGATAGTAAATGATTAATGAGTGAATGAACTAATGGTGGGTGATGTTCTTTTGCTTAATTTCGAATCGTTGGCGAGCAAAGGCTTACATCAATAAAATGCACTCTTTTGAATAGTCATTATTTCGTCTTATTTCACTAGTGAATTTCATTCATTAGTCAATATTTGTCTCGTTCATTTTAACAACAAACTGAAAACTTGTTTTTTTTTAAAAACAAATACTTTTTATCATAGTGTTTCTATTTTAAAATCGAATTATTTATGTAATCCAATTAGTCTTAATAAGTATGTTCTGATAGAATTAACTTGAATGTAACTTGAGTACAATTGATTTTAGTCGACAGTTTCAAGTAACATTTTATAAAAGAGATAATGATACTACAGAGTTGTTCAAAACATACGAAACCAAAAGAGAAAATAATAAAGTATAACTATCCAAAAAATTAGGCTGAATCTTTTTGTTAACTAGTGTGAGTGATCATTGTTTACGCACATTGATTAGGATACAAAATGAACGTAAATTTGATACAGTCCAATGTGATTAATTATTATAGGCTTTTGTAGTGGTAGTGGTTTTTTTTAATAATTAAAAAAAGATTGAATCAAATAGATTGAAGTTAGTAATGAGTTTATCTGGAATTATGATTATCACACAGAAATCAATCTATTCAAACGACATTAATAACTTACACGTGTATCATGACTATTAGTAAGTGGAGGAACTGAAATAACCACTGGTGTACTATCCACAACAATAGGAACCATTACATCACTGAATACATTTGAAACCATTGCACTTTCAATATCCAATACATTTAAATAACGATAAATCTGACTAAATTTTGTTTGTTTACGAGATTTCCTATCTAATTGTGCTTCATGAACTAATTGTCTTAAAAATGCTTCACCTGTACTGTTAGGAGTCCTATTTAATGGATGAATCTGTTAAGAAAAGAAAACATACAAGAAAGTATGTATATACACACACAATTTTATTCATGCATTCAAACACGGAGATAAAAATGTTCAGATTTATTACTATTGATAAATATTCTTTTAGTTAAATTAATGTAACTAGATAAAAATAACATATACGTTTAAATGGTTATACAAAGCAATTGAAACAAAGAATAAACTAACTGAATCAAAAGAAAAGAATATTAACATCAATATTCTGTTCAGAGTTTACAAATTTCTATCCAGAGTCAAATTACCCATGATAAAATTAATCTTTAATAAACTGAATCCTTATAACGAATGAATATCGCTCATAAATGAATAACTTTTAAACGTAGAATTTCAGATATTTTAAATGGATTAGACGTTGAAGACTGGAAAAGTTTGAATTGTGGCGTTATTGACTGAGTTTACAGAATAAAAACTGAATTAAGGAATTCTAAACCAGCAGCTCGACGATAAAAATATACAATTCCCCGTAAATATCCTGAGCAAAAATAAGTTTTTTTTTTCATTTGAGTTTCTATTACTTCCTTACCGAATCAAACCCTTATTAAGCTCAGTTCCTTGAGTAATAATGTGCTGTATTTGGCACACTGTTGGACAAAGTCACCTAAACTGGAAGACACATGAAGCTGACACGCCTTAATCAATGTATTATATTCGTGATTGTGAAGCTTACTCGATAAACATACATCAGAATTCCGTATCACTTTCTCCATTCAAATCATTATTTTCAAGTCTTGCATTTATTTATTTACAATTGTTGGTATCGTTTTAGTTGAATCACTTTGTCTTGCACCTTAATTTTTCAACTTCCTGGTACTGTTATAAAACGTGTAAGCTAGTATTAACTCAGTCTTTTCGGACACAGTGTTACTTTTCGTTCGTTTTTCTATCGTTTGTCGTGATTACTTTGAAAGACATTTATTAAAATTTATATAAAGCACTCCTGCTACTCGATAAATTGATTATATTTTCGGATTTTCAAGTTTATTTTCGCAATAAAATGGAAATACACATGACAGTGTATTTATGATAATTATAAATAAGGATTGTGAAAGTAGTAGTAGCAGTAGCAGTAATATTTATACAGAAAACTTACTACAAATGACTTTGCTTCTTTTATAGTATAAGTAAGCGGAAAACGGATCAGCTGTAAATCGTGAGTGGCTAAAGTTGCATGACGACGCATTTGGCCAATATCACGATGCCAATTTTCTTGAGCTCGTAAGAAAGCTTTTAGTTTAGCTTCAGATGAAAATTCTACGCCATGAACTGTACAGGCAACTATGAATGGACGTGGACCAGATTTCACTGAATGAGTTTGATTAATTTGATATTGCTTACGTATTCAAAAAAACAGAGTATAATAATCACGAATTACAACAGACCTGCAAAAATATCCGCATATACAATAGAAGTAAATACGGTGGTCAAACAACTATTCTTTAAATCGAATTTAAAAATGATCGAAGGCTAAACGAATCTAAGCATACTGGTGGCAATTGTATTCAGCACACTTAGAGAAAAACTTGAGCTTTAAAAGTGTTGAAAAATGGTTTAGTCTCAGATGATCTTCCGCAAACTACTATACTTCTACTATCTCTACACTATTGGATTTGAAATGACAATTGCGTCTCTGTGCTAATGTGATATGGCAACCTGAACTGATATGCGTACGTACGAAGTTTTACGTTGTAACTGACTGACCAACTTAATCTTCCAAATGCATACAAGAAGGAATGGACGAAAAGTACATAAAATGATCATACTGATGGGCAACAATAATGAATAGAATCAACAAAATAACTACGAATACTTTCTTTCTCTAGAAATGCTTTCATGCAGACATGCATTTTTAGCCTCAAACAGAGAATTCCTACTCACCAGATACAAATTGTGTCTTTAAAAAACTAAGAGGATGAAAAGTACACCACTGAGGTTGGATGATATGAATGATCTACTTAAAGAAACTAAGATAGCCTAATTTTAAACTAAATGTGTTCAAAGGCTCCAAAATCCTAATGGGACACATGATGTACGAATCTACCTTGGTCACTGACTATCACAGGACTGGATCGCTTAAACATTGTCATATTTAAATGATCGATTTTATGAATACCATTAACGAAGATGGAAATCGGTAAAGCCTTTTGATAGCCAAAAGTGCTATTCTAACCTTCAACGCTACCAGGTCTGACAACAGATAACTTTGATTATGTCTTTGTAAAATGTGATGTCGATGTACAATCGATAGTTGAGACAAGTACCACAGAATTTAGTTTCCTACTACACCATCAAGGAATATAAATGAACTTAATTAAAGTTTTCCTGACTGTTTTTAACTGAACTATATTTCTTATTAACCATTATTCTTATTCACTTACCGACAGATTGCACAACCTTCAACTCTTTTTTTCTTTATAGCATTATTACTACATCTGTGTGGCACATTTTCTTGTGTTCTACTGTACCTTAATTCCTGTACTATAATTATGATGAGGAAAAAACATGTAGATTGTTTGGTCGTGAACCTGTTCCTCAGTTTCTGGGACTATATTTACAAGCTACAAATAAGAGTCAAGTTGGAAACGATGTTACTTGTAACCAGAATCAGAATAAAGCAAAACGTTTTAATGAACGACAATTAATTATCTTCGAAGTTGTGGTTGCAAATTACTAATTAAACCCGGAATTATGGTTGAGGTTCAAGAATCAAAGATGGTTTTATCAGCTTCCACCACTTCAAATGATTGGCAAATTTGATGAATTTACATCAAAAGTGTAGGTTACGTAACGACTGGATATGACACCTCCATAATCAGAGAGAAATAGATTAGCTAATACATCATTTAGTGTCAGTGTTCGTTAGAAATAAACCCTACAAAATATATCCCGTTTTTCATCCAGAACTAATGCCGGTGCCAATAAGTGAATTCCTTTGCGAAACCCATCTACTATCAAACCCACCTCCGATCACATTGTACAGAAACTTAAGATAGAATCCTCCTAGTAGAAGATATCGATATCTTATCACTGATTATATTCCAATGTATTGCAACGATGTGACAGCACAAGAATCCACAGCTAGTGAGCTTAGGTTAGGTAACTCACCCACTCCTAACTGAGATATATTGGATGATTTTTTTATTCATATGCTGGTGCCTAGTAATTTGCCATGAAATCTCATCACCGCGGCAACCCAGTACGATTTGTTTCTATGTGCAACAGTAGTTAGCTGGTTAAGCGACCGCTTAGATAGAAAGCATAGTCCAGGAGGGAATGACGCATATTCGGCTTATGTACTGATTATTTCCGAGCCCACTTCGGATGCATAGCCTAGCAATACCACTAACGAACACGAATGAATCAACAGAAATATTTAAATAATTATAGGAGGATAGAACATACTTCTTGTTCAGATGGACGCTGAATGACAATATGAGGCACTGAACTTTCCGTAACTTCTGGAGGTTGGGCAATAACATTATTCGTTTCCTGGTGTTCGGTTAAAGCTTTTGATGATGAATGTTTGTCACTGACTTTTTTTCCTTTCCCGCCAGCTGTTTCATCCAATCGACGAAGGTAAGCTAAAAGAGCAGTTGGCGAATGTTCATCGACAGAAAGCCTTTTCAACCGATTATCTTTAAAAGGATTTCCATGAATTATTAGAACATTTAGTTTACGACAGCGATGAATATTGGCTGGAAAATCAGTTAAAGAGTTTTCGGAAAAATTTGCACTTTTTAAACTTGATAAATTAAACATATCTTTAGGCAAATTAGAAATGTTGTTATATGAGACATCCAAGACGGCCAGATTAGTCAGCAGCTCTATCCCTTCAGGAAGTAACTAAAAGCCAAAATGGTCATGACAAAAATCCAAGATAACATACGGTTAATTGATTTTTAGAAGCTGAGAATTCGTGTAGCGATTTTAACCCTTGAACAGATGGTATACTTTGTATTTTATTACCAGACAAAATAAGACTATATAGATTAGACAGTTGACTGAAAATGTCAGGAATCACTGAAATGTTGTTGAAGGATAAGTCCAAACATCGTAAAGAATGAAGAGATCCGAGATTGGTTGGAACAGCTTTTAGCATATTTGATGTAAGACAGAGTTGGGCAATATTTGAAAGCTTGGATATATCTTCAGATAGATGTTCTAAACAAGTATGGGAAATTTCCAGAAAGTTGAGCTTCTTTAAATCATAAATTCTATTGTCAAGCCCTGATTTCTCGATCATTTCTGAGATTTCCTTCCCAGAAATCACGAGTTCATGTCTTCCTTCCTGAAGAGCCGTTGTAACAACACTCCACTGAAAGTATGGGATGTACAAAAAGGATAAATGCATCAGGATTGTACAACATTGTTTTCAAAATGATTATAAGACCGTACGATCAGAAATAAATCCCTGTAGTTAACGAGATTCGCTAAATATAGTGATGACCAACCAGTGAAGTGCCTAGGGAAATTTTATTGTCTGAAGCACAATTGTCACACAATCTACACTCTGATAACGACTAAATGCATGAACGAAATCCTAACCGGGAAGCAAATTTTAAGGTAATAAATGCTGTTATGTGGGACTAAAAAGTACTGTGTTGAATAAAAAGCCTACCAATGACAAATTTAACCTGATCAGTTGATATTTGTGATCCACCTACAGAGGTAAAAAAAAACATCTGGCTCTAAATTAATGACTTATTACCATATATATATATATCATATACGAAGCTCAAGAGGAAGCTAATGAGGTGACGTATGTTGTGACTTCCGTTGTACGCTAATTAAATAATACCGACTAAAATTCATGGTCAACCTTACAGAAATCATGACACTTGTCAAGAGACTTAAGCTCGTATAGTACGCACATAACACGAAAACCCATACCTCACGAGCCATCTTTACAAAAGCAACAGGTGCCTAAATCCCCACGTTTTCGAAATGCAACGCAAGAGTTAACCCGTGAGCTTAAGTAAATACAATATTCAATAATTATTTAACGTTCCGAAATAAACCATTTGACCTTATATTATCATTTCTGTATATCATCCTAAAGAACTATCATTTTCGAAGCGTTTAAAAAAGTTATCGAAATCATTTGTGTAAAATGATATACCATTATACATCGCCTGTTAGACGTCTGACGGTAAGAGTTGACAACCTCACTTCAGGTTGGCTGCCTATTTTACGTGCACGATATCCGCACTAACGCTGGGTACCTCGTTGACACAGGTGCCCAAGTTTCTGTCGCACCACTTGGTAGCAGCTAGTGTGAACCTATGATGTTTCGTCTACGGGCTGAGAACGGCTCTGTCATTCCTACATATGTTACACGACAGCTGGCAGTCAACCTGAGTAACCGACGACAGTACCTATCTACCTCCATCATTGCCGATGTTCCCACAGCCATATTTGGTATCGATTTCTTACAGCATTATAAAATGCCAGTTGATTCACGTAGGCAGCAGCTAATCGATACTTCGTCGAACAGTAAATTTATGGGCTTTCGAGCTCAAAAAAGTGCGTACCATATTACAGGTGTATTTCATTCACGTGATGACATTTTCAAAGCTTTACTCGAAAAATTTCTCCAGCTAACTAAATCACTCCAGGAGAATCTGTCTGTGACTCATCATGTGGTTCACCACATCGTCACCCGCGGACCATCAGTCACGGCAAGACCTCGCCGACTGACACCGGACAAATTAGCTTTCGCTAAACATGAGTTCGGCCATTTACTAGCTACTGGTATCATTCGTCCTTCTCACAGTAGTTGGGCCTCACCACTCCACATGGTTCGCAAAACGGATGGGATAAGTTGGCAACCATGTGGCTACTGCCGAGCAATAAACGTAATAACACGTTTCGATAGCTATCCCGTCCCCCACATACACGACACCACAGCATCACTCAAGGGCACGACTATTTATTCTAAGATTGATCTGGTAAGAGCACGTCATTAGATCCCAGTCGCTCCTGAAGATATCGAGTAGGCTTTTATCACGACTACTTTTGGTCTTTTTGAGTTCCTACAAATGCCATTCAACTGGTGGGCGGCCTATGCTTCATTGGGGGTAACAGGCGTAAAGAAGAAAAAAAAGACGAATGCCGTTCGGATTACGGAATGCTGCTTAAATTTTCCAAAGGTTTATCAATAGCATACTTCACTTTTCTTCGCTTCTACATTGATGACTTGCTAATCACATAATCAAACGTAGATGAGCATTATTGAGCATTATTGCTCTATATACCAAGTCTGGCCGCTACTCATCACGAGATTCCAGACATTTGGACTACATCTCTCAGTTCACGACAGACCTTCGTCATATTAAAGGCTAGTCGAACTACGTTGCCGATGCCTTGTTACGCATTCAAGTGAATGCAGTCACTCTACCGGTGCTTGACCTCCCTGCTATGGCCGCTGCTCAAGCAAAGGATCCTTTTTGTACAGAAGCACAAGAATCTACATTCCTTCAATGCCACTAGCTACCACCTCAGGTACTATCCTGTGTGATAACTCTACTGGATTACCCCGACTCATTATACCATGTGCTCATCGCCGTCTCGTCTGCGATGCCACAAATGGATTGTCTCATCCAGGTATCGCAAATACATTACGTCTCATCACTGCACGATACGTCTGGCCTTCCACGAATAAAGGTGTCCGTATAAGGGTAAAGCGATGCTTACAATGTCAACGACAAAAAGTGCACAGGCACATAGCTGACCCTATTGGCACATTTGCTACGCCTGATGCCCGCTTCGATCATGTTCATATTGATATTGTAGGACCGTTGCCACCAACGCATGGGTATGATCACATACTCACGTGCATCAATCGTTTCAAAAGATGGTCCGAATCTATTCCGATCACTAATATTACGGCGGAAGCGGTTGCTCACCGCTTCGTAGAACGATGGACAGCGCTTTACGGTTGTCCCTCGACTGTCACAACTGACCGAGGACAACAGTTCGAGTCCGAATTATTCTCCTCGCTAACCCGCCTGCTTGGTACGGAGTGCATACGCACTACCGCCTACCACCCAGCTTCAAATAGTTTAGTTGAACGGTTACATAGCCAACTTAAAGGTGCTCTCAGAGCAAACGGAAACAACAATTAGTACGAAACCCTATCACTCGTCCTCTTATGTATCAGAACGTGTTTAAAGGCAGATATTCAATTTCCGCCGTTGAATTGGTATACGGCACGACATTGCTTCTGTCCGGGGAATTTTTCACACCACAGAGTGGTGATAGCTTCAATAAATCAGACTACGTCCAGCGACTGTCTGAATTTTAGTGATCACTGCCTCCGGTATCAACTCGAGTACAACATCGAGAGTTATCTACTTGTTCATATGTTTTCATACGAGTCAATTTGGCACTCAAACATTTGCAACAACCCTAAGAAGGCCCTTTCCACGTGACTTCTCGTCACGAAAAGACCTTCAAGGTTGCTCGGAATGGCCACATCGAGATCGTCAGCATTGATCGTCTTAAGCCAGTAAATGTCGATGGCAGTTCCCTACTTGCTAATCTGAGACCCAATGCTAGACCTATCAAACCTACTACCGGGACCCTTAGAGCTACTTTGGGTCCCACGCTAGATGTACCAGATACCTCATTCTCACGCCCCAGTCAACAGCACGCACCATCTTCACTGTCTACGGGTGAGACTCCGGTCTCACGTCCAGATCAGCAGACCACGCCGCCCTTGACTTCGGATGAGATTAACGGCTCACAAGGTACGCACGAGACTACCGCCTCGCGTTCCGGTCACCGCGTACGCCCACCTGTTTGTTTTCTTGAATGACCACTCAGGCAACAACGGATACGTGATAGTACACTATCCCTGCACTACATGTATGCTACACTTTTCTCTTTATCTTTCATTTTGTATACTGAGCTCATGTCTACGACCATCACCCTGTTGGAACCGTCAGCTTCAGCCAATCTCGGTGAAAGCTGGCCTGATCACCCACGCTCTTGTCAATGCACTCAAATGTTCTGGTTTCGTATGTTCTTGTATACGTATGGTTTCGAACTTGATCGTTCTGGCTCCTTCGCTCAATCTGGTTCCGTCCTACGTTTGCAGACTTTTCCAGTACGAACCTCTACAAACGCTATCTTCAGACTCTGGATACGAGCCACGCTGATGTGGCATGCCCACCCGAGTTCTGAACTTGGCACGTTACTATTGGTACAGCTTAACATAAAAGAACCCCGTTGACAATTAGAACTTCACTAGCCGCTTCCCGGTTCGTCAACACTTCCGCCCTACAATCGCCCGTTAGCCAAACAGTCCCCCCTCAACGCGAGACCGCCGCGTATCGAAAGTGTAAACCCTTTCTAGGGGATATAATGTAGTGGTATAATTTTAAGAAGAAAACACAATTGCTGAAATGTAAACATTTATTATTGTACTTAATTCTGACAATAATTGTTATACTGTACACCTCTTGTTTGTCTGTACTAAAAACTATCCCCCGCGCGCCAAGTGTGTTATTTCCATTCTCCTCTTCGCACGTCTCCTGCGTGAAAGTTAGCCGTTTGTACGATATCTGGCCTCGATATTATTTCGACATCACGACGCTAGCATCCAGTATAATTCTTCCTCTAGAATGGCCTTTCCATCTGATTCTTAGAGTAACGGAATTAACATTTGTTGTCCCGCGAAGTAGTATATTATTTGATTCGCTATACATTACTGAAAGATATATCGAAAGTAACTTACTAGGGAGTCCTCCAAACAGTTGGTAATTTATTTTGGAGTCCTGCCAATAATTTGAATCAACACAACCTAACATTAGAAATACAGAAGTACTAGGTACTAAGTAACTGCACATTACTCCCTGTCATTTTACTGCAAATGGACTGAGAGATGCTGTTGTTGGCTAAAGTGATACACGCAGCCAAGTTGGAATATGGAGGAACTATATATCAGCAAAGCGAGAATGTCAATGGTGCAAAAATCCATTCCAGTTATTTGCAGCAATTTACAAGATATACCGCAAAAGCTGAAATGTGAAACATTAGTAACAATCGCGTTCGGTAACTATACTGAGTTGTTTACAGTATATGATAGTGCAAGACAATTGATGTAACTATAGAAAGGCGACCACTTTCAATGCATTGCTGGCGTCGTTCACAGCCAACATCAGAATCGAAAATCACTGTAAGTACTAGTGGGGCGAAACCTGCAGCCTTAGGAGGTAGTGAATAGTCCTCAGAAATACAGAACAGTAGCAAGAACGCATCTAGAATATTGCTGACAACAACAGAGAAAAACGGGTCTTCTAGGAGCACGAACTGGTCACAAAGATACGTGAAAGATACGTCTCCACAAATGACGTTTTTTATTCGCAAAACATATCGATTCTCCTTCCAGTTGATAATATGAAACTGATTAATATCTGATGCTATATAGATAAGGAGTATTTGTATAGTCCAGTCTTGCTAGGAAGTGCAGAACAGAGAGGCCGGGATTATGACACATTCATAATTGTGCTGATAAGTCACTATGGATCGGCTTTTCAACTTTGATGAGTAACTTATGGTCTGTAACAACCAATAAAGTGTTAGGCACTTAAGACTACTTGCGCCTGAGGACTTTCCGACTAAGCAATTGCGATGAGTCGACAAACTAATGCAACTAAACGGTACACACGTGATTTATCACGTGAACATTACCTTGTGTAAATTATAGAAAAAATGGAACTTTTTTATTACAAAACTAGATGTGACTACACTTTATTTGACTGACTATTTAAGGTTGCACTTTTTATCCTTAAACAGACGATATTAGGTACAAAAAGGTTTTCATCACTAGGTAGACTTGTCAACATTATCCGACTTACTGCCAAACGGTCAACAGTATAGTATGTAAAACTTTAGACATAACAATCAAACCTGCTATTATTACACAAAACCCCACTAGCCTGATAACTGTAGGTTCAAACATTCAACTACTACAGTGACTGTACATAAACATGTAATTTTTCAATTACACTGTAACATAGTTAATATGACTTTTAAAGCCAAAATACTCAGTCATGTGAAAAATCATTACTGAATATTACGGCAATCCTACATTCCCTGAACTTTCTAAATGGAAAAAGTCCACTAAAGAAATATCATGACAATGAATTCATTATCAAGCTATACACATTTGATTATGGAAGTGTAGTTAACTTTCAATGAAAACGAAATGAAAAATAATCGCCATAACGTAAGCATAATACTTGAAATACGAAATCATATATTTTAAATGAATTCTGAAACAAAAATAAACGTAGAACAATCGAAATGATGTTAGAGAATTATTGTAGTTCATGATTAATACTTATTGCCTAAACAGCTGGTTACTTGACTTTTACTCTACCTTCATGGAGAAGCTTGTTTCAGTAGATAAAGGCAATCAGCAATTATAAATCTGCAATGATAATGAAACGAGATGTATACAGTGGAAGTGATAACTAAGTGAACATACTAGTTTATACACTGATATGATAAAATCAACAAAAATTTTTACACTGAATTTTCGTACAAACAAACGTGGTATATCTGTAGGCTTGAGGACTTTTATGCCAACTTTGTGGTTCTGATTCACGTCACTTTGTGCAACAACTAGAATGTATATCAACCACAAAAAATTAAGGCATCCATTATCAACGTGTTTCCAAAATTATTGGTTTACAAATTTCTGTTGTTATACTGATAATTTCAGTTCACTGAATAGAGTGAAACCTATTCTTCATCAATTTTCTCAAGAAATGATCATTATAGATTACAACTAAAAGGAAACAATAGTATTGTGGTAATCCAAAAATGAAACTATTCTAACTGAAATACTCTTCAAAGCCATGGAAACTGTTAGTTTTCATTCACTGAGTTGGAATAAAGAAGTGCAGAATACTAATTGTAAATCAACCCAGCAATCAAATGTGGGACTATGTATCTATTATGACAGTTCGTGATACTATTCACGCACACAAACTAAAGTACGTGAAGTGGGTTATAAACATATCTATCGGTTAAAACTTAAATGTTGCAGACGTAAACAGATAACTAATTCAAGAAAAAACACCGGTTATTTTTAAGTAATGGACAATAGAGTACACTTCTTTAGATTAATTACAGAAGTCTGAACATTTGCTAATAAAACGTTAACCAGAAAAAACAACTCAAAACATTTAAACGCTGCACTCAGAGTTAGAAGGTCTTCATTTAGGAGAGTTACAACGCATCATGGGGAAAGTCGAGTTTCCTCGTAAGTCATGAGACCGATGACACTTCTGACAATCAGATCATCCATTAATTTAGGTATGTGAAATGTTTTTACAGTAGTGGCAGATGGAAAGAGTCTTCCAAGTTACTGTAAAAATGAAAGGAGACAACCTGATGGTACTTAGGATATGTGAGACGCATTGGACACAGGTTGGACAACTAAGACTAGCTTCAGGATATTACGATGAATATCATTCAATGCTATGCACCTACCAACGATAACAAAACAAGAACGATAAAGACCAATTCTACAACAGACTGCGGTCAATCGTAAAATAATGTCCAGTACAGGATTTGACTATACTGATGGCGGGATCTAAACGCCAAGCTTGGAACAAACAACATTTGATATGAAGGCATTGATTGAAGCAAGGAACGAAAACGGTGAGACATTTGCAAACCTATGTGCTCTCAACAAACTGGTCATGGGAGGCACCATATCCCCACACAAACGCATCAACAAAGCCACATGGATTTCACCGGATTATTCTACACAGAACCAAATCAATGAGAAGCAACCATATGATATAAAGAAGGAGCTTGCTGGAAAATAAAGTAAACGAGAAAGACCAGTGAAAAGCAAGACAAACCAATAGTTGACACTGAAGAACAGTTGAACAGAACATTTCAAAGAACTCTTGAATCCGCCAGCTCTACTGAACCTATCCAACATCGAAGCAGCATCTACGGATCCCCTAATTAGTGTCGAACCATCAACCATTTAAGAGGTCAGCACGACCGTCAGACAAATCAAGAGCGGCAAGGCAACAGGACCAGACAACATTCCAACCGAGTCACTGGAAGCAGACGTAGCAACGACTGCAAACATATTCCACATTCTCTTCAGCAAGATTTGGAAGAACAAGTACCAACCGACTGGAAAAAAAGACACCTCACTAAGATAACAAAGAAAGGAGATCTTAGTAAGTGTCAAAACTAAAGAGGCATCATTCTTCTCTCAAAACCAGGAAAAGTGTTCAAACGAATGTTGTTAACCAGAAAGGACTCCGTAAACGCCCAAGTTCACGATCAGAAGGCTGGATTCCATAAGGTTCGATCACGTACTGATTAAAATATGACACTACTGGTCATTGTGGAACAATTAACTGAATGAAATTCACCACCAAACATCAATTTCCTTGGCTACGAAAAGGTAATCGACAGAGTAGACACGAGAGAATCATGGAAACTTACTCAAAACTGCGGCGTGCCTGAAGAGATAGTCAATATCAGATGGAATTATTATGACGGATTGAACTGCAAAACCATGCATGGAGGACAGCTCACAGACTCGTTCCAAATGGAGACCGGTGTCAGACGAGGTTGCTAACTCTCACCCTTTCTCCTCCTCCAGGTGATTGACTAAATTATGAAGACGTCGACGTGTGAGGGAAAGCACAGGATACGGTGGACAGCTCGGATGCACCTGAACAATCTAGACTTCTCAGACATTGGAGTTTTCATTGCTACTAACAAATATTTTCAGTGAGTCAAAGATGATATTAAATGACGACTGTGATATCACAAACTGAATGAAGTGTAAGTGAAATTTCAAACAGCTACTAAGAAGAATTATATTTGGCTCAAAATCTGATGAGCTCCAGATCTGATCCGTGTGAAGCGAGAGGCGGGCACTTTTAAGGAGTTTTGAAGTAAAACAAAATAGTCTTTCAGTACTCCTTGCTTTTACGTGCCTCCTTACTCAACATCAATCTGTTATGAAAATTCCACAAAACGATCACACCTGATATCCCAGGAGTTCAATTTATGACCGAAAACGTGACGCCTAATGTTAAACCAAAAAGATCATGCAACACTAACTAGCATGAAACAAGTGGATTCAAATAATAACTTTTCGAGATTACAAACAACTTTACTTGAAAAAACTGCTTAATCAATGCAGAAACAATTATTTCATGAATTATACTCACTTATACCATGGAATAATTACTAGTATGGAAGAAGCATGCCATAAGGCATGTGAATCGAATATCCAACCGATTGGTACAAAATCACATAATTCTAACAGCATAAAAACCGAAAGTGATGTAACTGACAACCAGCAATATAAAATATATGGTTGTCTTCTATAATCACAGAGGCAAATGGAGAAAAACAACCAGCCGAAACAGTTGATTACACCTGTTGAATTAAAACAAAGACATATATCATACTGTTAACAACACTGAAACATTGTATTAATTATAACGACAAAAGAGAGGAACATTATTGATTGAGTAAATAAATCAAATTAACTGAACAAGAGTATCCCTTTTTTGTGTCTTAATTAGAAATATCAAAACTCATTTATGGGATAATGTAGTCAATTTTCAGTCACGATTTAGATGTTAGAACTAGTACTGCTACTCAACTTTCACAAATTAAAATGCTTAGAGTATAGGAATTTGATTAAAAAAACATGCCAGTAGAAAACGGAATGCTTTGATCAGCGAACGACTACTGTTTCTATTACGCTTAACTGCTTTTCTGACTACACTGAGCAATAATGCAAGCATGTTCGGGACGCCTCGGTATGCAAAATGTTGCTTCAAGATTGGGTCGTGTCCGTACCTGAACGAGTGATAGGGAGTAAAGTAGTCGGGAGTGTCGACCGCTTCACTTATCTTGGGAGTCTTATCAGCGCTGATGGCCTGGTGACTGACGAAATCTCAGCACGAATACAGAAAGCTCGATTGGCTTTTGCCAACCTGCGTCATTTATGGCGAAGGCGAGATATCCGTTTGCTAACCAAAGGTCCAGTGTACTGTGCTGCAGTTTGCTTCGTTCTCCTATATGGATGCGAAACATGGACAGTCAGAGTAGAAGATATTCGTAGGTTGCTTGTCTTTGATCATAGATGTCTAAGAAGCATTGCTTGTGTATCGTGGGACACCCGAGTAAGCAGTGCTGCCATTAGGAAGCGAGTACTAAGTAAGGATGGCAGATCAATTGATGAAGTATTGGAAATCCATCAATTGAGGTGGTTAGGACATGTGTTACGAATACTCAACCACCGACTGCCGCGACGAGCTATGTTTTGTGGTGTAGGAGTAGGTTGGGAGAAATTTAGGGGTGGCCAAACCAAAACATGGCAGAAATCCATGAAATCACTGAAAAGTGGACTGAGTCATGTTGGTAGATGTGGGTTACTTGGTTGGGATCCGCGAGACGTAAGTCACCGATGGTTAGGGACCTTGAATGACATGGCAGGTGCATTCACTCTCCTGGATTCGTCAACACCTTTACCTTTATCTCTTTAAACTTATCTTACTGAATTATACTTTTTGAATATTATCTTCAAATCTTAACCTTCTCCATTAGCAGTAATTCTTCTACTATCTCTACCACTATGGGATTCGAATTGACAATCGTGTCTTTGTGCTAATGTGGTATCACAAAAAGAACTGATGTACTTACGTACGAAGTTCTACGTTGTAACTGACTAACTGCTCATCAAAATACGAAAGAACATTAGTCATACTTAGATTTCACGAATCAGTTACTTTTAAAATTAAATTCTAATGAAGCTATATTAAAATTGGTAAAGTTAGAGACTAGAATCACTCAACAGAATATTCGTATTGAGACCGTCGCCAATACAATAATTTCCTGTAAATTTAATTACTAAAGAACTTGGACAGATAAAGCCCGTACACGTTAGGTGGTGATTACTAGACTATAAAGTATATATACTTTAAATGTGCTCCAATGAAGACGATGTATCAGGAACTGTTGGTTAGATAATACCCATAAAAAAATCATCACAAACATACTCCTATTACCATATCTTAAAAAATATATGGAAATTTCTCCCATCTTCCTTTTACTTAAGTTTTTTTTTCAACTTCATAGGATGCTAATAGGTAGGATCGCGTACATTTGTATATTTTACTGGTTCAAGTTCCTCACCGACCAATCATCATCCATACACTGTTGAAGAATACAAAGTGTTTCAGCATAAACTTCTTTTTACCATAGTTCTGTTGCATGTTACATTTTATTTTTACTAAGACAAGCTGATTTTCTCTATTTAGTAGTAATCCAAACAATAAACCTGGAGATTTAAGACATCACTATCTAATTGGCGAATAATCAATCTATCAATAAATAAATAACTTATATGTAGTAATCAATTTGGTTGAAATATACCTGAAATAAAATATCCGAAACAAACAAACAAAAACACACAATGTATGAAGTTATGAGATATTTCATTTTAAAATAAACTTACCGAATAACATATTGACAGTTAAGTTATAGTTATAGTCAAATTTAATGAAAATCATATAATTTACATGATTTACAAAAAAAGCTGTTAAAACAGCAGAAAATAGGATAGTATAAAGTCGATTAGGATTGAATATTCTTCGATGTAAAACCATAACAGATGTAACAACAAATGCAAGTGCACTAAAATAATCCATTTTCTGTGAATAAAAATAGGAAACTGTTTAACAATGAACTTACTTCAGTAAATGATGTGTCTCTAGTGTGAAATATTGTTGACCAAATCCATGCGTTCATAGAGAACTAAAATACAAACTAGATGTTTAAAAACTTACCATAGTTTGTACAACCCAACTTTTATACATAGGGGAATTGTATGGAACATATGTGTAGAATTGAATGAACATATGACAAATAAACAAAAAGTTTAGCAGGGAAAATATGGCAGATGCTGGTTCTTGTACACCACAGAAACGAATGAATGGCCACTATTAGTTAAACTATAGAGAGGATGATTAACTCACCTTTCCATTAAATTGAGGGACAGGTAAACCATCTTTTTCAAATGCAGAAACAGTTTTCCACATGCAACGGTATTTGCACTCAGATCTACAATCCCAAAGAACTGAATTCTCGAAGATTACAGCTCCAGAAGAATTAAAGTGTTCATCCCAAATGTTTTGTCTGTTTGACAAGGAAGATTCGCATATTTCCCTCAAGCACTTTCTATTACATTTATAGAACACGTAAGCCCGATCTCCTTCGGATGAAACTACTGGAGGTATGACAACTAATACACCATAAACATATGCCAGGATCAGATTGAAATATATATCAGCCATGTAAAAATTTAGTTAAAATACATAACGAAAATCGAAATTGGTTTGGGTAAGCAGTATGAGGAAGAAATTTGAGACCATTAGCAGCAATATGATCAGTTAGGACATGAATACCAAGTGCTTTGTACAATGTGATACCTAAACCAAGAAAGTTGCATAACGGAGTAAGAGCAATATTATTAAAACAAGAAATTACAAGACAAAAAATGACTTGTGATTCACAGAATCATCTTTCTTAAAAGAAAACAAGACAAAACGCAAATGGCAAGGGGGGATACACTTTCAGTAATAAAATGACAAATAATTAGACTGACAGGTAAGAATATTGGATCTACCATATACAAAGATAAGATCTGAGTGCTTCCAGGAAACTTGGAAATAGTATGTGCTTTCTAGATATCTGCTTAAGCGTTTGAAACACCAATTTTCTATGTGTAAATACTGTCATAAACAATCCTGCTTTAAATTTGTTTGAACCGAATAATTATGAATCTTAACTATGTTTCCACACAGTAAGATTAGAGAGTGGCAATCTACAGCGATGCCAAATACTAGGAATCTTACAACACAGGACTGTACCTGGAAGTGAATTCTCTTATTTATCAATCCTGTGAAAAAAACGAAATATATGTACATTGGAGATCTTGGATGTAACATTTGATGGATGAAATAAGTAACTGTAACACCTGAAATTTGCCACTGAGGAGAATTGTTAGATATTGACTATTTGTTGTAATATTGCACAACTAGTGCTGAGAATCCATTATTACAACAGAATTCATAGTTATGGATAAATCTATTTTATTATGATCCTAACTCTCACTCTACAAAGTCTGTAAACGAATGCAGACTTTCTATAGGTTTCTTATATTTGAAACCATGACTTTATGATGCTACTAATTTAGTCATAGTGCACTTGAAATAACTGTTAATAACGTAGTGAATTCTGCTGACGTTATGTGTAGATTTCAAAATGAGTGGAATGAACCCCGTATGGTGTGTCACACTACACACACAGACGCTAATAAGTGTAATGAGTTGTAATAATCACTACCATATCTCCTCACTTCCGACTGAAAACAATTAAAGACCAGTTGCTAGTTTTAATGATGATGTAGTGTCGATGGATCCTGTCTTCAGAGTTTCCCTATGACTACTTTATTAACTAAAACCAGATAACCGATGTGGTTCTGAGAATATCCAAGTTTAATTAGAAATTGCTGTACCACTAGAGATGCTATTTTACGTCTTTGCAGTAGTTAGAACGACCAAGAGACTGGAGGAATCTTACGATTAGTCAGACTTACAAAAGTAGGAATAAACCTAACTGAATATTACAGTGGTTAGATCAATGGAAGAGCTTATTCGGGCTGCGATCCTACGTTGCGTGGAGGGAAACAATCTGTTAGCGAGGGAACAACATTTCCCTAAGATAGATCTTACAATCTTGACCAATATGACAAAACAAGATAGATATATTCCGGCAGATATCATTTTTGTACATGTCAGTAAAGCCTTTGATAAGGTCTGTCAGTTGGGTCTTTAAGTAAAGCTACCAGTAAGTAATTTTATAGTTAAAAATTGAACTACTGACTTTATTAATAATGGAAACAATGTGTAGGTGTGAACAATGCATTATCATTCTGAGGATATGAGGTGAATTTTCCTGTTTCACTTAACATAAACAAGTTATTCAATGTAACAAATTTATCGGTCTCATCTTTGGTGGATGACATTAAATTCTGAAGACTGATACAAATTGAAGGCTATGGGACGGAATCACGAGACGATTTGCAACCATTGCTTGGGTTGAAAAGATGATTATCTTTACAAGTGAATTTCAACAATAATGTATCATTCCAATCAGTCAACTAAAACTTAGAACTTGATGAGTGCGTACATCAGTTCAAGTTGCCATACCATATTAGCACACAGAGATGGCATAGTCAGCAGTAATAGCGGTAATCGAGAAGATTATGAATCATAGATAAGATCTGAGAAAATACAAACCAGTGAAATAAATTTAGAAAGAGAAAAACGGTTACAAGAAGTTTAGGGAACTAGAGTTTGAGGGAAGACAAACAATGGATGCATCTGTGCCATTGCAAAGGATTTCGAGCCATATCATTCAAAGTTTCTAACCATTCATTACAATTGTCTCCCGGATCGCAATCGCGTAGCCTGCACCAACTACTATGGCTTAATCCAAATGTTAATGACTTCACGGATTTGTGTCATGCTGTGGCCGCCCCCACTTTGTTCCAGCCTACTACACTAGGCAGCATAAACCTTCAAGGAAGTTGGTGGTTTGGATTACGAACACAGGTCCCAATGATCTCAAATGATTAGGATTTACTACTTTATTAATTGATGTGCCAACCCTACCTAATATAATTTTCCTGACGCCAGTATTGTTAATTTGATCGTCCCAGAATATAGCATTTCAAACATCACAGGTGGCTTACATGACTGCGCAATGGGCAGTTTCATCACCCCAGGTTACTGATGGTATGGATTCTGGACTCTTATTAGGAAGTTATCTATGAGGAGATCGATTTAAGAGACTATCCCATCTTACGGGCTATGCATACATCATTTTGTAATCATGATGTAATGTTCGTTAAAGTGGTATCTAATCAGTGTGAGGTCTTGTCTTTTATTTGGTTTTTAAACAGAAAATCTTAAAGGACTTGTATTTGCAGCAACATTTTAAATATGAAGGGAATGAGCTTGAAGGACTCTAACAGCGACAGACCAAAATATTGAGGGGACTTTCGGACTTACCTTATGAAAAGATAATAACAAGTCCCAATGTATTCGCACCACATTACCTTCAGTTACTAGGTATTTTGAAATTTTTTACCCTAGAGCATTTTAGTCAGAAAAAAGCGTGTCCTGATTGACAGATGAGTATGATGTACCTTTACCCTATCTAACATTTTCATATACAAAACTATCCATCTAAGAAGATATCCTGAAAAATGCCATAGCAAATTCTTTGGGACCGGACATGTTTCTTAAATCACCTCAATTTCCTACTTACACACTCCCTAAACATACCGCTGAAGACTGAATTACCGCGCAGAAAATCTGTAAACATTTATCTGTGCTCCTCTAGAACATTTCAAGGACAGTCCATATGGCTGAAATATTCGAGCACCAAATACGAAGAATTTCCACCTATCAAGCTTCCGCGTCTAGATAATTCTACTTGGAAAGGGCTCTAGATTTGCCAAAACAAGCAGATATGAATAAAGTATTAGTAAATCAACAAAAGATTCTGATTTTGGTCCACGTGAAAACATAGTCTTTAGATAATCTTAGGAATTTGATTGAACTGCTTTAGGTAGTGGGGAACTCCATGTTTACCTAGCTGCTCTGAAAGATTTCTTGTGCTATCCTTCGAGTTCATTCCGAATGAATGATGGACAGTGGCGAACTATAAATAATTCACTAGTGAATTTTGTGTACACATTAAATTTGGCACGCCTTTGGCACTAATTGATGGTTCCCACATAATTAAGTTGTGACATACTGGGATACAAACTACATTAATTTCGATTGTGCTTTCGGAGTTCTCTCTCATGAATATTAGTCCATGTGTAACTACTAGAGTACGAGTCACATAGTCCTGAGGATAACAATAAAGCACGTGGAATTCAACCATTTTTAGTCATTATATTAACTCCACAATAGAGTCCATTATTGAATATTTGGATATACATACAAATGCTGAAGCCTTCGGAAGGTATATGGATAGGTTTCATATATGGAGTATGACCAGGAAAGGCGTTAGAGGTTATAGAATTGTGAATCGTTTTCTGGTATTCAAAGGAAAAGATTTTAAAGCTTACTACAAAATTTAGCCATTCCATATAAGCTTACTTTACTTTCCTAAGAGGTTCTTAAAGAACTGCTAGTAAATCACGTAAAATATGCATACTTCAAACCCCGTGAATGAACGAAATTCCTGAAAACAACTTGTCAGAATAACCAGAAGGTTGGAGAGTTTATTCTTGAATTTCAGAATCAAACCTAAAGATCTTATTTTGGTGACCAACTTCCTGTTCACCAGCAGGATGGATTAATTGTAAGAATTACCATAAACATTTCGAAAAAAATCTCATGCAGATGAAGAAATGTTTTTTTTTCGAAAATACATTGAGTATATGCATTAACTGTGAGGCAGTGTGTTCTGCGAGATAAAGAATCCATTACATTACTTAGTTGTTCCTATCCAATTTGTACCTAATGTCAGATGGACAGGAGTTCAATTAACTACTTTCCTCTTTTCCGTGATAACATTAGAAGCAGTTACAAAGCAGTTTACAAAAAGGTGAGCACAAGTTCGGTAAACATTCATCATGTGGAAACTTGGCTTAAATAATTCGTGTGTTTCCGGTCATGTGGTATAATAGAACACACTAATTCGATGTTTAGGACAACTCTCCTTTTCGACAGTGTAATAATATACCTAGCAATTTTTATCTTATCAATTTAAACGTTCGTAATGATGATGCATTATCTTTATCCACGATTTCGGAAAGTACTTTCTACGTTCAGAAGCGTCCCTATATATTTATCTCATTCCTTGTTTTTACAGTTGATATAAGATGTATAGAGTCCATTCAGTTAGTTCGAAATCTGTGGACGTTCCAGTACGAACTCGAGAAGTTTTAGTATTAAGGATCGCTGAATACAAATTCCCTACGTAAATATGCTATGACTTGCAATTTACTGACTACCACTCATCGCGCATGTCTTGTGAGTTTTCGGTAAGTGTAACAGGATCGTCAGTACTCGGTCTAAACAATAAATGTTTATGCTGTCCTATTTTGCACTTCTTGAATACCTTCTAGACGATAATGGTTTTAGCCTAGATATGTTGTGATTAGCTACGTTGACAAACGCACCACCTCCAGAAACTATATTTACTATGGAGTGCTCTTCAAAATCACTATCTCTTAAATCTTAATTTTTGTTATCTGCACTAGAAGTAATTGTTGTAGCTGAAGATGGGTAATAGAATATTTTCATTATTATTCGTCTGTCCTCAAAGCATACAGTGCACACGAAAATTAACTCTGACGAAAACCAGATTCATTCATCTGACAACAACGATACCGAAAATAGCGTTATACTTAGAATAAGATAAATTAAGGTGTGAAAAACACAATGGAATGTTCCGATGAGATCTGAAATTGTGTTTGCTCCGCACGTTGCACGGGTATATACACTGATTCTCATGGACTAATATTCTTTTCCGGAATGAGCAACTGCAGCCGCACCAAGGTTACGGATTATAACAAAATAATCAATGTTGCCGATGGTGTCAATGAGGGGTAAACGTCGACAGAATCTGGTTCATCTCAACACATTATTCTTTTAACTGCGGTAATAAACAAGGGTTATGCTTACGTAGCTCTTTAAAATCCCTTCTCAGTGATGTTTTGGAGGTTATTCTGTCAATGTACACATAGTACATGTTACTGATGCATTTCCTGCAGGTAATGGTGAACTTTTGGAGAGAAAAGTAGATCATTAAAATGTAAAACACAACCTTTCCGTTGATAAACAAGGTCGGACACTCAACGACAGGCATTTAGCCGTCATCATCTTGCATAACCACTGGAATACACCCCGACTGCAGTATCTTAACGGAAGAGTAATGCTATGAGTTTTCATGAGTATACTATCCATTAGGGAACCTCTAGGGGAAGTCAATATGTTAATTGCATACCTCAACAGTCATTACGTGGTAAAAATGCTGATAATGCAGACTATGTCTACCGGCGGGCCATTCAAATCTCACCAAAGAGACTTGTCGATACTTCAAATGTTTACTCTATACTATACCAAAAAGCTGGGACTCCAATTCGGAAAGTAGCTTTCTTTTTTTGTAGTCGAGATAACTTAGTCACTACCGCAGAGTTCAATTTTCGCTGTACCACTCCTGATTTTACCTTTTAATGTTTACTGAACTTCGTGTTTGTCTGTTAACAAATAAAATCACTATCGTCGTTTATTATTTTTCCACGTGGCTCAATTTTTTAAACCTTACTGAACATTGGTATTAAAGAATTGAAACGCTTCTCGTACTTATTCGAATGTGTTCACCTCCTGATTCAGCAGCATAGGGTGCATGGATTTATCCCCTGAGATCCTCACTTTAATTTTCAGGCAGAAAATTCTGTAAGTTTTTCAAAGACTATCATCACATTCATTAGGATTTTGAGAATTGATGAATTAAGATAGATAACAGATTCATTTTTGCTGCAATTTAGGTAAAGCACAAAAGTTAATAATAGGTAGGAATGCAGATGTGAAAATGATGTCTTCAGCTAGCAGACGCCAAATAGAATAGTAGAAATCATCTCTGAACATCCACGGAGATATGGTAGAATTAATGGTCCTAATAATAAATTTCGGTGATATAAGTAAACACCACCGACATGTTGATCAGATACAATTCCTAGAGCTGGATAAGTCTGTACCATCTTCTACTATCACTTCAAATGCTAACTAGCATTTCCTGGCACCTACATACTCTATGAACTCCGCCAGTAGAACCTTCGGGGCTACTGCCGGTCCCAAGCCCGGGTAAAGGAGGAGGGTTGGACATGGGGTTGGCGACCCCATTCCGTCAAAAACTAACTTGCCAAAAAACGCTAACCAGAACAACTAATTCAAACCATTTTAACTCTGCCCTGGGAGTTGGAGGAAGAATTATGACGTCGCGTGATGAAAGCCGAGTTCCCTCGGAAGTCACGGGGCCGATGCCTCTTCTGACAACCAGAGCAACCATTTTTTTAGGTACATGGAACGTTCGTACATTGTGGGAGACTGAAAGACTATTTCAAGTTGCGGCAGAAATGAAAAGATACAACCTCGAGGTGCTTGGAATCAGTGAAACACATTGGACACAAGTAGGACAACTGAGACTTGCTTCAGGGGAACTGCTGTTATACTCTGGTCATGAAGAGGAAAATGTTTCACATACACAAGGAGTTGCACTGATGCTGTCCAAACATGCACAAAAGACACTGATAGGATGGGAATCTCATGGACCGAGGATCATCAAAGCATCCTTCAAAACAAAGAAAGAGGACATTACAATGAACGTCATCCAATGTTATGCACCTACCAACGACTACAATGACGACGACAAAGATCAATTCTACGAAAGGCTGCAGTCAATCGTCGAGAAATGTTCACCAAAGGATTTGACGATTCTTATGGGAGACCTGAATGCCAAGGTTGGAATGGACAACACTGGATATGAAGACATCATGGGACGACATGGACTGGGAGAAAGAAACGAAAACGGTGAGAGATTTGCAAACCTATGTGCCTTCAACAAACTGGTCATCGGTCGCACAATATTCCCGCACAAACGCATTCACAAAGCCACATGGATTTCACCGGATCACACTACTCAAAACCAGATTGATCATATCTGTATCAACAAAACGTCCAGAAGGACTATGGAGGATGTGAGAACCAGGAGAGGAGCTGATGTAGCCTCAGATCACCATTTGCTAATCGCCAAAATGAAACTGAAACTAAAGAAGCACTGGACAACGGGACAGACAACATCACACAAGTTTAATACGGCCTTTCTTCGGGATACTGTAAAGCTCAACGAATTCAAGATAGCCCTCACCAATAGGTTCCAGGCCTTACAGGATCTACACAATGGAGAGGACACAACATTGGAGAACAATTGGAAAGGGATTAAGGAGGCAATCACTTCAACATGTCAGGAGGTCCTTGGTCGCAAGAAGCAGCATCATAAGGAATGGATCTCTGTTGTACTCTCGCAAAAATTGAAGAAAGGAGGAGCAAGAAAGCAGCAATCAATGTCAGCCGAACAAGAGCGGAGAAAGTTACCGCACAAGCTGCATACACAGAAGCAAACAGGGAAGTGAAGAACAGTATCAGAGCTGACAAACGAAAATACGTGGAAGATCTAGCAATGACGGCGGAAAAGGCTGCAAGAGACGGAAACTTGAGACAATTGTATGAAACTACAAAGAAGCTCGCCGGGAACTATCGTAAACCAGAACGACCAGTGAAAAGCAAGGAAGGGAAAGTAATCAGCAACACTGACGAACAGCGAAATAGGTGGGTAGAGCACTTTAAGGAACTCCTAAATCGACCAGCTCCTCTGAAGACACCCAACATCGAAG